ATATATTATGTTGTGGTGAAAAGTAAAGCTTATGCTTATGGGTTTCAAATCCATTTCAGTTAATTATTATAATTTGACCGATTTTCATTTATCATATGACGATCATATAAAAGTTACCAAATTATCAGCATTGTAAATGTATCAGATATTCATATAGAATTTACCTGACACATTTTCAATCATATAATTTTCATTGGATTATCTTATAGCGCAAATTTATTAGACTTCCACATAACAGGAATATGTCATATTGGCTCAGTGCAATGATCTCATCAGGCATGTTCCGAGTGCCTTCGAGGACATGGTCAGAACTTTATTTGAGTCAAACCTACCCGAAAAAATAATTTTAATAAAACAACGAAATTACAATGATTTTTACTGTTGAATTTCGAGTACACTGTACACAAACATCATCCTCTGATCGAATGAAACCTCAGACCATTCAAAACAAATTATCGAGATCGTTTTTTCGAATGCTACCTGCAACGGATGACGGTTGTTTTTAAATCAGATGATTTTCCTCTAGAAAACAGGATGAAAATTGTTATGAGAAGGGATAAGGCCTTCAGTTGAAACGGTAATGCTCTCTGCAGAATGACTGTCATACTAAATGGAAATGCATATGGTATTGGTTCAGTCCCATAACGCAAATCATTCAAAACGATGATGTAAATAATTCTATCGAATGTCATTTGCTGATCTGAGCTGATAAACGAAGTGGAAGCATATGCATCGCTATCAGAGCTGTGTCGAACGTAGGTAAAGGATGAAAACCAATGTTTGGCTGATTCGTGGTGGAGGAGGTTTCCTCCACCACGAAAAAATTTTGTATCCATAGTGGAATGGCTTATGATATTATGGCTATTCAGTATAGAAATGTAGATAATCAAATTATAAATCTATTTAAAAGCACTTGCATGTCACACTATTCTTAAATGTTTGTCCTCTGAGTGCCGTATGTTTTATAGCTAATTTTCAAACGAAAATCATCCTGTATTTGGTAAAATGGAATCAAAAATAAAAGTCATTTGAAATGCTAGCTTCCTGCAAGCACAAACGAAGTGACAGACGGAGCGGCTCGAAAACTTTGGTGACTAACCTGCTATTGCAATTTTTCAGTGTACCACATGGCAACACCACTACTACTGGATTGTACCACATGGCAACACTACTACCAACTACTACTAGATTGAACTAGCATTTTAACCGAATGTACTAGAATGTTTTGGTTCTATCTCTTTCACTCTACTCAAAACTGAAATGCATAAAAAAAATGACAAAATGATACGCACTCTTTGCACACTGTCAAAGAATCATTGTACACAAAATCAACTTTGTTCAAATCAAAACAAAAAAACTAACCCATCTGGTGGATGATGGCACAAGCTTCCAAGAAAATTCTATTACAGTGAACCACATTATTTTAATGGATTTCTTCGCCAGTAAGTCGTCTGTCACTTCGTTTGTGCTGCAAGGGTTGCAAGATAATTTAGGATCAAATCCCTGCTGCCGAATTGTATTTTGTTTTCTCCGCCTATCTCTCCCTCTGAGTATTTCTAACAATAAGGTGATCCACACGGATAAAAAATACTACCCAAAATTTGAGTTCTTTTTACTTAATATTGACTTCAGCCTCTCACTTGCACTCGTTATTGTTATCAAAAAAGGAACGAGAGATTCGACCCAACGATATAGTTCAGCCCAATAAGTTACTTCTGAGTAAATTGCATATTCTTAAATTTACGTGAATTAAACTTAATTTTGGGTAGAATATACTTAAGAGTAGGTAATTTTTTTGCCGGTGTTAAATGGAAACTACTTTATGCGATTTACTCAAATTTGGGTTATTGGGCTGAACCCCAGAATTGAGGGAAAAGTACTTAATTTTGGGTAGTCTTTCATTTCCGTAGGGACGTTTCTCAGTGGCACTGACAGCTAGAACTCTATAGAGTCTGTGAGTGATCTGGTGTTTATGGTGCTGAATGTAAACATAAACAAAGCAGAAATTCATATGAGAAGTAACCATCGGAGTAACCATCGCTCAGGGTGGTGTCCTGCCAAACATCCAGGCCGTCCTGTTGCCCAAGAAGACCGAAAAGAAGGCCTAAATTCGATCGAAGTTCCCACCCTTTAACAAAATCCGTCCTTTTCAGGACGACCAATTTGATGGTAAAGAGTTTCGTTTTCAAAACAGTTTCCTTCGTGATGCGCAAGGAGTGATAAAATGAATCCATTAAAAACATGGTTGAATCTTTCTGTCATGCTCTCCCTAGTTAATTGATATCCTCATCGAGTAGGTTCGATGATGGTTGATTAGTGTAGGCGTGTCTTGAATTCCAAGAAATTAACCAGTGCAGTGTTATCATTCCATCCATATCTTAAATTAAACTATCGACTAAATTTTCAATAGCGCCCTAAAATATACATCAGTACCGTCCCAACGACGCGTTCATATAGATAAGTTTGGTAAATAGCAGATTTTTAGCGATGGGCCCAATCTTAGATTCATTTCCCCTAAAGAGCCTAAATTTATAAAGAGGCGACACGTCAAAATTGGAACAATCGATTGTCTGTCAAAGTCATAGGAAAAGTCATTCCAATCGAGCAGAAGACCTGTCAAATTGATGAGATGTCGTCTCTTTATAAATTCAGGCTCTTTAATTTCCCCTACCTTGCAGAGCTGCGGTGGCCCTGGACTTATGGCCTACATTGATGCAGCGGAATGAAATTCAATATTTTGATTGCCGAAGCAAACACTCAAAAAATTTACCACATAGGTATCTAATGGATGAAAACCATGTGAATTTCACATAGCTAAAAATTCCACCACAAAATCACATGAATATCATGAGGCCGATGAAAGTCATATGAAAAAAGTGTCGGAAAGGCATTAGAAAATTAATCGTTAAACTCTTTCTTGATAATGTTGTGGCCCTGAAAAGGGCCATTTTTCCAACGCGCTCGGCGTAGTTGCCCTTGCGGAGCATACGGTGAATACGACCGACTAAGAACTGCAGCAGCTGGGCATTCCATGACGGCGGCCCAGTATACCGAAGCACTGGCACCAACGCACTCGGCGTAGTTGCCCTTTCGCCCCCAGGCTCTGCTGCCGCTGCTCTGCTGCCGTTGCTCTGCTTCCGCTGCTCTGGTACTGCTGCTCTGCTGCTCTGCTGCTGGGTCGACGATCGGATAGACAATGATGGGATGGAACGGGCGACCTTGTTGGACGCTTATATAGTAGAACAGAAATTATCAGCGGTGTCAGATACTCGCGACTGATGTCTCGGTTGGAGAAAGAATAAGAATATAAAAAAATAAATCGATTTTCACCATGTTTCAATAGTTTACAGAATGAAATCAATAGTTTTGAAACATTCAGCAAATTGCTAGAAATATTTCCAATCGATTGATGCCATTATCTCGTAAATCTATCGAGAGACGGTTGAGTTATTATGGTTCAAAATCTTTTAATTTTTCGTAACGCATCCAAAATTACTGTTTTCAATTTTGTACCCCCGTATGTTGCCGAAAGACGTTATCCAACGTCTAAAAGTCAGCTGATCGCAGCTGTCTCGTGGACAGCCTTATTACTACAGAGATTCTATCCGCCAGACTATGAATATAGCGACTATAGAAATATCACCCTATATATAGTTTTTTTGTCGACTTTTTTTTGTCGGCTCGGTCGGTTCACTCACACATGTGAGCACAATACAAAATTTGTCACGAGTGTCACGACACGACGGTAGAGCAGTGCACGGTCCCTAACCTCACTTTTTTGGTTCCAATCATGTTGTCTCTGAGTAAAAGAGATGGCAACGAATGGGAACCAAAACAAACCACCCAAAACTGTCAAAATTTACGGGTGAAAGAAGAGTGCAGCAAATCTTCGTGCACTGATCTGTAGCGGTTCGGTACAATGAGTGTAAACAGTTGAGGCCCAGATAATTTTTGTCTCTTTTTTTCCTCCGGTGTTTACATGCACAGAAATTCAAAACAACCCAAAATTAAGTTCTTTTCACTCATAACCGGCTCAAAGTAGTTTGCATTTAAGCACGGCAAAAAAAATTACCCATCGCTAAGTTATTTTCAATTTTTTCTACCCAAAATTAAGTTCAATTAACTCAAATTTGGGTATATCGCATATTACTCAATTTTGGCTTCTCGTACGGAACTAGACGGTTGAGTCGAATCTTTCGTTCTATTTTTGACAACAATAGCGAGAGAAAATGAAACGGACTGAGGTCAAATAACTCAAATTTGAGTTTAAAAAACCCAAGCGGTGGGTAGTTTTGTTTTTCTGTGTGGATGACGGAGTTTGACATCAAACTACACGGAGAAAAAATACTACCCAAAATTTGAGTTCTTTTTACTTAATATTGACTTCAGCCTCTCACTTGCACTCGTTATTGTTGTCAAAAAAGGAAGAAGAGATTCGACCCAACGATATAGTTCAGCCCAATAAGCTACTTCTGAGTAAAATGCATATTCTCAAATTTACGTGAATTAAACTTAATTTTGGGTAGAATATACTTAAGAGTAGGTATTTTTTTTTGCTGGTGTTAAATGGAAACTACTATATGCGGTTTACTCAAATTTGGGTTATTGGGCTGAACCCCGGAATTGAGGGAAAAGTACTTAATTTTGGGTAGTTTTTCATCTCCGTGTACGTCAACCATTTAAACAGCGGAGGAAAAAAAGAGACAAAAAATTCTCTGGGCCTCAACTGTTTATAGCGAATTCGTTTATTATTCAGTTCCAACCTGGATCGGGTATCAGGATTGGGTCTGCTTGTTTTCTGACAAACGTCAGTTTGCTCGTTTGTTTTTAAAACCTAGCTCAGGTTGAGGTTCGCACTGACAAAAAGTTCGGTTTCGCACTGGGTTGGAACTGGTTCCCACCCCGATAATAAACGAATTCGCTATTACACTCATTGGGTTCAGTTGTCAAAATTCGTGCATTCATGTTTTCGATCGGTTCGAACGACGCTTTAGTGTTTGGTTCTGCTGCTGGACGGCAGGAAAAGGTCACGTCTTTAATAACAGAAACACTTTTTGGACGTTCTGTTAACTTCGGTAAACAATCGTTATATTCATAGATTTACTAATTCTAATGTGTAATGGTACCGTTTGTAGTGATGTTCGTTTGTTTAACTAATTTTTAGATTTGATTTTAAGACTTCCCTCCGGGTGGAGAATGGAGCCATTGTGTAGACTGTGCCTAGAAGGTGGTCCCGATTTAAGGCCCATACAGGATGATGCCCAGGGAAACAGCACCAACACAGAGGAGTCCACCGCCGAGCAGAGTCTGGTTCAACTTGTTCTGCAGTATTTGTCCATTCAGGTTAGTAAGTATAATAATTCGATTTCGTGGAAATAAGGTATGGCATTTGTTTTGGCTCACTCATAAGTAAATTATCGAATTAAACTAAACATTAGATTCTCATTAATAATATCGAATTCCAGGTTATTAAAACCGAATGTACTGAGAGCCCCTTAATTTGCACAACTTGCCAAACGTTGATCGAGGGGTGGCACCGGTTTCACAATACTTGCCTCAAGAATGACGAAATCTACCAACGACGTCGGTCGGAGCTGTTCGAAAGTGCAGTACAGAAACAGGAAAATCAAGTCAGTCGATCGTTATCAACTGATTTCAAACAGGAGGAGTTGGAAAACAGTGCCGAAGATCCAATCGATGATGATCTGGACCCGGATTTTGAACCGTTGGATGAGGATCAGGAAGAGGAACGCTATAGTGTTGCTGTTGTCGGTTCGGCATACACTACAAGCGAAGATGAAATGGCCGAGAAAGTACAACCAATCAAACGGAAGGAGAAATCCGATTCGAAGGTTATACCGAGAAAGCGTGGTAGACCAAAAGTGAAAGATATAGAGGATGCCGATGGGACAGACGTGGTGATGAAAAGTCGGAAGCGTGCTGAGGTGTGTACCATTTGCGGAAAGTTTATCAAAAACATGACCGAACACATGAGGATTCACAACAATGAGAGAAGGTTGGCGGTGGGTTATTTTGTCTAGATTGTGTAAATGTTTGATTTGTATTTCCAACTTTCAGACATCAATGCCCGTACTGTCCGAAAGCATTCGTGAGCGCGTCCAACTATTGTTCCCACGTCAACATCCACACGCGAGCGAAAATGTACAAATGCGACCTCTGTGATAAGCAATATGCCATGCTGAACAGCTTGAAACAGCACCGGATTACGCACTTCAAGGAACGAATCTACCTGTGCCCAGTGTGCGGAAAGGCGTACTATCAACCGACGGGATTGGCCAGGCACAAGCGAACACACTTCGACGAACCGAAGATTAAGTGTTCCGAGTGCGATAAAATGTTCCTGACCAAGTAAGAGAGTCTCTCAGTTTGAAATGTTACCCCTTTCTAATCATCGACTTGCTTTGCAGTTCTGACTTACGGAAGCACTTCACCAAACACCTACCGGAGAAGCCGTTCAACTGTGAGATTTGCAATCGAGCCTTCAGCCGCAAGGATAACCTCCGAACGCACATGAAGACCCATCGGGGGCCGAAGGCGGTCAAAACGGTTGCCATTGATGTATCTTCCGACACCGGACCCAACGCCCCTGAATCCAACAACATCACTATCAAACTCGAATCGCCCAAGAGGGACCTGTGAATTTCTTTTGTTGTTCTACACAAGCGAAAATCGACTCCTTTTTTATTTGGGTTCTTAAACACTTTGTTAGTGGACGCGGTCCGGGTTTTTTTTTCGTATTACAATCAGCTCATTTCATTTGAAATATAATAGTTATCTATTAAGCAACGGTTTGTTTGTATACATCGCCACCGTTCCCGTCTGGAAGTATACCAGGAAAAGGCAATCCGGGTACGCCTTCCCATGCTCGTTCCTCCTCGTCATCCGATAGACGGCACTTGGGGTCAGCTTGAACCGGTCCCTGATTTCAGCTTCGATAAACTTCGGGTCGAAGTTCGGTAGGCCTTTGATGATGACCTTGAATGGTTTCTCATCGGGAATGTTATGGGTGAAGAATTCTACCTTGGAAGTCCTCAGGTGGGCGACGACCAAGTCATACTCCACTTTCGTACAGAGCACCACCTTGGTGCCGACTCTGCATAGCTTGAATTCGGAATCCGCGATGAGCTCGTTAAGATAGGCATTTTTCACTACCAACGGAGGTAGCTTCTCTTTTGCCGCACTCGTGTCGGCAGCGTCACCGAAATCTCCGATATCACTGACATCGTCGCGACCAGTCGTGCCATCGGACTGGCCCCGATTTTTCTTCCTCTTCTTGCTGTGCTTTACGGTTACAGCAGGCTGAGTATTCCCATTCCCATCGATGGGAAGAACAGCAAACCTGTTCGTTGTAGGTACACCCGAGTTTCCTTCACCGGGGTCCTGGGCCTTCAGCGGGCTTCGCGAGCGATGCTTACCCATTACAACAAAGCGAGCGAGTAAATTCAACAGACTGTACTGCTCAAACTCCTCAACAACAGTCGAGCGCAGCCAATGAGTACATAGAGAGGAAAGCAGATCGTGAAATATTGTTGTATTAGTAAACCAAAAAATCAACGTAAAAGAAATTAGTGACGTCACCAATTGCTTGTATCGTTCAGTAATTTCACTCACACAACTTAACAGATTGCTTCACGTCGGTAATCCAGCTCATTGGAGCGCAGTAGCTCAATAAGGCATTCCATGAGACAGCTGCGGTCAGCTGATTTGTTTGTTTACCGAGAAGTTTTGACAATTCACAGTTGAACCCGGCGTAGTGGTTAGCATCCATACCTCTCACGCCAAAGTCACGAGTTCAAATCTCACCCCCGGACAAGTCACAAATGACCCAAGAGCGTTTTAAAGCTCGTTTTAAAGTGACTATAATAAAAAAAAAAAAAGTTTGACATATAAACTAAGGGGTTCGTAGATTTTCGTATGTTTCGAGAGGTGCATCGATTAACTTGGGACCAGAGCTGAGACAAAAATTTGAGCACGTTTCTTCGGTACCTTCTGGTCTTAGAGTTACCTCTATGATACAACTCTGCAGTCTGGACAGCGTTTAAGACTAGAAGGTCCCGAAGAAACGTGCTCAACTTTTTGGCTCAGCTCTGATACTCACTTCGGTCCCAAGCTAATCGATGCAATCCTCGAAACATAGGAAAATCCACGAACCCCTCATTTTGTCAGTCAAACTTTCATAGCTAATCAAAACAAGCATAGTGTAGTACGAGGGGGGCGACACATCTAAATCTCAAGTTAAGATGCTCAACAAATCTCACACTAGCGAATCAATCTTCGAAAAATCTTCTTTCATTTGTCGCATCTACTTGCATCGAGCATCATCTTTTTGCAGGAAAACTTCAGAATCGTAATCAATCTTCTTTCTATCTACTCAGCGTGCGCGCAGCTAGCCACAGCAAAACACAATCTTTTTCTGCATCGTAGATAGAGTCGTCCCCCTCGGTGTAGTACTAGAATCTCGACTAGAATGGGAGACGCTTATCCAGCTTTCCATGCTCGGTAATGGCGGCCTGTTTGTATGAATAAATTTATCCTTCACTGTGATTTTTGACACTATCTTGAGGTTCGGATTTTGACCCCTCCCTTTCCCTCTCCCAGGAACAGAAGAAAATGGAACAACATACGCCCTTCAGTTAGTGTCAAAAAGCACAGTGAAGGTTACATTTACTCATACAAACAGGCCGCCATTACCGAGCATGGAAAGCTGTATAGATTTACTTGGGACCAATAGGCTAGTCAAGTCGAGAGCTAATTTAAATCGTATGTTTATACCCATTAATGAAATTTTGCCGATACACCGTGTTTATACAAGGTCTGGGCCAAAGGGCTTATTGTGCTAAGTGACATCACAAACGAAGTGACAGACGGAGCGGCTCGAAAACTTTGGTGACTAACCTGCTATTGCAATTTTTCAGTGTACCACATGGCAACACCACTACTACTGGATTGTACCACATGGCAACACTACTACCAACTACTACTAGATTGAACTAGCATTTTAACCGAATGTACTAGAATGTTTTGGTTCTATCTCTTTCACTCTACTCAAAACTGAAATGCATAAAAAAAATGACAAAATGATACGCACTCTTTGCACACTGTCAAAGAATCATTGTACACAAAATCAACTTTGTTCAAATCAAAACAAAAAAACTAACCCATCTGGTGGATGATGGCACAAGCTTCCAAGAAAATTCTATTACAGTGAACCACATTATTTTAATGGATTTCTTCGCCAGTAAGTCGTCTGTCACTTCGTTTGTGGTGACATGTTCAGCAATGTTTGTAATATGTTTGCTTCTAACACCAGCAAGCAGCCTGTTGCCCCAGACCTTATATAAACGCCCTAATAAAAATTGTATGGTTAATTTGCTTAACGACGTGTTCTGGGTATCATCCAAACCATTTGTGGAATAGTTCAATGATTTGGGTTATCATTCGTTTGTGGTTATTTTTTATTAGGGCGTCATGATTGCTATAGCACCTCCGTGGTTTAAACCGATGTTTAAACGAGCCTTTTTAAATGAACATAAAATGGGCATGTTCTTCAGCCTCTACTGTATCTCAATGTCGACTTTGAATCACGAATTTATTTATATTTGTGTTGGTGTGTCGGTGTTGATCAGGATCAGCATCAGCTCAGCATATGTAAACAAAACCACGCGCGTACGGTATCGTTCGGTGTTTCGAGTTATTACACAAAATTTGCAATAACTATTATTCTGCCTTCAAAACATGGAACTCCTATCGGACGAAGGTCTCCGGTTGGATGGACGGCGGCCCAATGAACTGCGTCGCATACAGTGCAAGCTGGGAGTGTTCAGCCAGCCGGATGGAAGTGCCTACATCGAGCAGGGCAATACCAAGGTGCTTGCTGCCGTCTACGGACCTCATCAGGCTCCGGCCAAAAAGAGCAGCCATGAAGAGGTCATTGTCAACTGCCAGTACAGTATGGCCACATTTTCCACCGGAGAACGTAAGAAGCGACCCCGAGGGGACAGGAAGAGCCAGGAGATGACCATTCACCTGCAGCAAGCACTGAGTGCGGCCATCAAGACCGAGTTGTACCCCAAATCGCAGATCGACGTGTACATTGAAGTGCTGATGGCGGACGGTGGAAACTACTGTGCCTCGGTCAATGCAGCGACGTTGGCCCTGATCGATGCGGGAATCTGCTTAAAGGAGTACGTTTGCGCCTGTACGGCTTCACTGGCCGGAAAAGTCCCGCTGATGGACGTATCAAATTTGGAAGAAATGAGTGGAGGGCCAACGCTTACGGTGGCATCGCTTCCCAGCAGTGGGAAGATTGCATTCATGGAAATGTCTCAGCGCTTCCATTTGGACCATCTACCGAGGGTGCTGGAGACGGCACTGCAGGGATGTCGGGAGGTGCAGAAAATCATCGATCAAGCCGTGAGGGAACACGTGACGCAACTAGGACAGGCAGGGGATTGGGGAACTGTTGGTAAATAAAAGACGAAGGGTAGGTTTGAACGAGTTAACATGATGGTTTGACTTTTTTTTTAATGGAGAATAATCTGAATCACGACTAGGTTGGTGTGTATTGTCTACTTAGCTTCTATGGTACTGTTAATAATGTCCATCAATTGCTTTTGCCGATGCATGGTTTGCAACTTTGCGATCATGTCTTCGAGCTGAGGACCTCCTTCGAGGAATGCTTTCAAGTTGTGGGTGGTTCCTCCGTCGATTCTGTGATCGGTAATGCGATCCTGGTTGTAGTTATAAGTACGGATTTTTTCGTTTCTCAAACTGGATCCCACTTGGGACTTTTTCATCGACTGAGTGGCGTTGAATTTGCTTTCCAGTTCCTGCTGGGTCAGCTTGGCTAAAAGTTTCTGTTTGGCGATTTCTTTGTTCTTCCCTTGCGAGCGCTCCGTTTGGCATTCAACCGCAACCCCGGAGGGGATGTGCACTATTCGAACGGCACTGTCCGTGGTGTTGACGTGTTGACCACCAGCTCCGCTGGCACGTTTGGTTTCAATCTTCAAGTCTTTATCTTTGAGCTCGATTTTAAATTCGTCCGGTCTAGGAATGACCGATACGGTTGCAGTGCTGGTATGTATTCGGGCGGATTTTTCCGTGCTGGGAACTCGTTGCACCCGGTGGACACCGGCTTCGAACTTCAGATAACGATAGGCATCCCTGCCATGAACGACAATGGATGCATGACGGATTCCACCCAGTTCGGTATCCTCCGTTTCAATTACTTCAATTTCCCATCCCTTGTGGTCGATGAAGCCACAGTACATGTCGAATATTTCCCGAGTAAATAGCATTGCTTCTTGGCCTCCAACTCCAGCTACCACTTCCAAAATAAGGGAGTTGAAATCTTCTTCGTCGTCCATCAACAAAATGCCATCCATGATTTCGCCATCCAACTTGGTGAGGATGTTAGTGTATGCCTGAAACGAAATTCCTGAGTAATGCCAATTTCACCGTGGTAATTGCTTGCATTTACCTCTTTTTCCTCCTTCATCAACTGCAGCATATCTTCGTCCTTTTCGGAGTTCATCTCCTGCAGCGAATTCAGATTATCCATGATTATACGTCTTTGCTCGTACATCTCCACCACATGGGACAACAGTGCCAACCGTTTGATGTCCTGCTTGTTCAGCTGATCGGAAACCTTCAGCGAGTAGTATTCCAAGCGAATATTCTCCAAATACTTTTGAATGTTTTCGTCGGCGATCTGAAATCCATCCTGCGTTTGCTGCCCGACCGGATGCTGCTGTGCTAGCGGTGGAAATCTAATCACCGATGAAATCACACGACTTTTAGGTACGCTCACACCCGGCATCAACAGGTTCCTATTCCGAATAACACCCCGCAAACAACAAACGCGGCTTAGAAACATTTTGGGGGGCTTGAATTATTAACTTTTCATTGATGGGAATACGTAACGAAAATATCGAGCGAAATTCGTGCGAAGCGAAGGACGAATGCTCTGGGATGACGATGTTTTGCAACAATGCAAGTCTGTCAAAGTCAGCTGTCATGGTCACGGTCGCTTTTTGGTCGACCTTTTTTTTGTCGGCTCGGTCGGTTCACTCCACACACACACACACACACATGAAAATGCCACACGAAACCAATGACATTTCTCGCGTAACTTTTCAAATAGACCAATGTAACATATACACCATTTTGAGAAAATCGAAGTTGAAGTTCGACAGATTATTATTTTAACTGTTTAGAAACAATACATTTTGCAATCTTATTTTTAATGTAGTCAGTGAAAAATAACGTTGAAAATTCAATAGAAACGTTAAAATCGCAATTTTACTTTGAATTTCATGCTACAATATAGAAAAAAACACATATGACGATTTGACTAGTCAAATAGTTGTACATCGGACATGTTACATACTTTTCAATAGGTCCTAAGTAACAAATGTGAACAAATCGAGTTAAGCGATACAAACTATTGCTCTGCTATCATTGTATGTGATACAAAAACAGCCATCCAAATTTACTTTCATTTATTTACGAGGGGGACGACTCTATCTACGATGCAGAAAAGATTGTGTTTTGCTGTTGCTAGCTGCACGCACGCTGCGTAGATAGAAGAATGATTTATGTCGATTTTGAAGATTTCCTGCAAAAAGATGAAACACGATGCAAGTAGATGCGAGAAATGAAAGATGATTTTTCAAAGATTGATTCGCTAGTGTGAGATTTTTTGAATACCTAGAATTGAGATTTAGATGTGTCGCCCCCCTCGTTTATTTACGATAATCATAGGTCAAAAATTGTCCAATGTACAGTTTGAAATGATGGGTACATTCGGACTGCCTAGAGCATGATTGGTGCTCATTTTCCAAAGGCGGGGCCAATCTAAAGTTAAGTACTGTTCCATCCAAGTAATCACGATGTTCCATTCAAGTAATCGCAGCAACCTACAGCTGCGACCGAGATGGAAAAATTAGTGATTCGAAGTGTAGATGTCAACCTGAATAAACGTATAGTTAGAAGCACTCAAACTTTCTTTATTCTTTGAGAAGAACACTTCAGTTGGCGACGAGGATTTTTCTGGAAGCTCACAAGTTCAAGAAATTCCAGAATCGAACCGAGGAAGGATGGCGGCAACAAACGAAGAACTCCAAGCAGCGATTTTGCAGCTTCTCCAGCGGTTGGCCGTTCCACAAGCAACGAATCCAGAGCAAGTTTTGGAATCCCTGTCGACGAACATCAGCGAGTTCTGCTTCGATCCGGAGAACGGCACTACATTCGAAAAATGGTTTGCCCGTTACTCGGATTTGTTTGAAAGCGACGCACGAAGTCTGGACAACGCAGCAAAAGTTAGGCTTCTGCTCCGGAAGTTGGACACGTCCTCTCACAGTCGCTACGTCAACTACATCCTTCCGAAACTACCAAAGGACGTCACATTTGCCGATATCGTCAAGACACTCACAAAGATCTTCGGCAGACAGACCTCCGTATTCCACAAACGCTACCAGTGCATGCAGCTACTCAAGTCCGATGGACGGCGTATTTTTCCTGGTAGTTGTCGACCCGTACACCAAATGGCCCGAAGTATACGCAACTAAAACCACAACGACAAGAACAACAATCAAGCTACTTACTCAAACGTTCGCAACATTTGGCGTGCCAGAAACCATCGTCTCAGATAATGGTACCCAGTTCACCAGCTACGAGTTCAAGAATTTCTGTGAGAATCAAGGCATTCACCACGTCCGCACAGCACCATTCTATCCTCAATCAAATGGGTTAGCAGAACGGTTCGTGGACACCTTGAAGCCCTTGAAGCGCACTCTTCGGAAGATTCGATCGGGAGGAGACACACTGGAGGAAGCATTGCAGACGTTTTTGCAAGTTTACAGGTCAACACCAACGGCTGACCTAGGTGAAAAGTCTCCTGCAGAAATAATGTTCGGACGACCGGTCCGCACAGTTTCGTCAATGCTACTACCGCAACACAACCGTACATCAGCAGCACAACCCAAAGCAGATGAGCAAAACAAGCGTTTCAACAAGAAGCATGGAGCGATTTCGAGGCAGTTGGTTCCGGGTGATGCTGTATAGGCTCAAGTCCATCAAGCAAATTCCTGGAAATGGCAGGCTGCCACAGTAATCGAGCGTGTCGGAAAAGTCAACTACACCGTTTTCCTGGAGGATAATCAGCGGCTCATCCGTTCTCATGCCAATCAACGGAAGCAACGTGCGGTCGAATCTGGTCCAGATCCTAGTCCAAGCCAAGGTCCTAGTCTGTTATCGGTATTCTTCGACGGTTTTGGCCTAGACGTACCATCCGTTCCAGCAACGATACCGGCTGCAGTGCCCGACGAACTTGGTCCAGTTGATGAAGAGCTTGGAAGTGATGAGGCGGAGTATTTTTCGGATGATAGTGAGGCAGACAATCCACCACAGCAAGATCCAGTACCAGTTCCGCCAGCAACAAGGGAACGCCGGCAGACTCGTTTACCAGCTAGATTCGAGGAGTACTGGATGAATTAAGAGGGGAGATGTTCCATCCAAGTAATCACGATGTTCCATTCAAGTAATAGCAGCAGCTGCGACCGAGATGGAAAAAATAGTGATTTGAAGTGTAGATGTCAACCTGAATAAACGTATAGTTAGAAGCACTCAAACTTTCTTTATTCTTTGAGAAGAACACTTCAAGTACTCTACTCTGAAATCTGTGAAAGGGAATCTAGTATCACGTAGAACAAAACGTCCAATGGAACACTCATTGATTATGTCATAGAGAAAAATCGTCCAATGTAACATGTCCTATGTACAACTTGACTAGTCAAAACGTCCTATGTGACTTTTTTCTATATTGTAGCATGAAATTCAAAGTAAAATTGTGATTTTACCGTTTCTACTAAATTTTCAACGTTATTATTCACTGACTACATTGAAAATAGTATTGCAAAATGAATGATTCATGTTTTCGATCGGTTCGAATGACGCTTTTGTGTTTGGTTCTGCTGCGGGACGGCAGCAAAAGGTCACGACTTAAATAACATAAAGACTTTCTGGACTTACTGTTATCTTCGGTAAACAATGTTTATATTCAAAAATTTACTAATTCTGATGTGTAATGGTACCGTTTGTAGTGATGTTTGTTTCCTTAACTACCTTTGATTTTTGGAGTACCGTTGGAAGAATGGAATTATTGACTGTGTCTACAAGGTGGTCACGATTAAAGGCCCATAAGGATGCTGCCCAGGAAAACAGCACCAACATGTTAGTAAGTACAATAATTCGTTTTCGTGGAAATAAGGTACGACATTAGTTGAGAGCCCATAATGTATAGAATTAAACTAAACATTAGATTCTCATTAATAATATCGAATTTCAGACCATCAAAACCGAATGCACTGAGGCCCCTTCATTTGCACAACCTGCCAAACGTTGATCGAGGAGTGGCACCGGTTAAACAATACCTGCCTCAAGAATGACGAAATCTACCAACGACGTCTGTCGGAAAGTACAGTGAAGAAACAAAATCAAGTCAGTTAATCGTTATCAACCGATTTCAAACAGGAGGAGTTGGAAAACAGTGCCGAAGATCCAATGGATGATGATCTGGACCCGGATTTTGAACCGCTGGGTAAGGATCGGGAAGAGGAACGCTATAGTGTTGCTGATGTCGGTTCGGCATACACTACAGTCGAAGATTAAATGGTCGAGAAAGTACAACCAACGAAACGGAAGGAGATATCCGATTCGAAGGTTATACCGAGAAAGAGTGGTAGACCAAAAGTGAAAGATATAGAGGATGCCGATGGGACAGAAGTGGTGATGAAAAGTGGGAAGCGACTCCAATCCCCGTACTGTCCGAAAGCCTTCGTGAGCGCGTCCAACTATTGTTGCGACGTCAACATCCACACGCGAGCACGAATCTACCTATGCCCAGTGGGCGGCAAGGCGTTCTATTAACCGACGGGATTGGCTAGCAAACACACTTCGAAGATCAAGTGTTCTGAATGCGATAAAATGTTCCTGACCAAGTAAGAGGTCTCTCAATTCGAAATGTTATCCCTTGTTGTCGACTTGATTTGCACTTCTGACTTACGGAAGCACTTCACCAAACACCTACCGGAGAAGCCGTTCAACTGTGAGATTTGCAACCGAGCCTTCAGTCGCAAGGATAACCTCCGAGCGCATATGAAGACCCATCGGGGGCCGAAGGCTGCAAAAACGGTTGCCATTGATGTATCTTCCGACACCGGACCCACCGCCCCTGAATCGAATCCAAGAGGGACCTGTGAATTTCTTTTGTTGTTCTACACAAGCGAAAATCGACTCCTTTTTATTTGGGTTCTTAAACACTTTGTTAGTGGACGCGGTCCAGGTTTTTTTTTTCGTATTACAATCAGCTCATTTCATTTGAAATATAATAGTTATCTATTAAGCAACGGTTTGTTTGGTTTTTTTTCACATTAATTCCTGCACAGATCGTCAGTTTACTTCCTCAATACTTGACTTATAAACAGTTCAGTTGGTTAACATCGAATTCAACGTTCAGTGACTCCTAGTAGGACGTTTTGTAGAAAATGCTATCTAGATGTATTTCTCCGAGATTGTACACAAATTTTCTGTAAAATTCATCCCTTATTTTCCGTTAACCGGAAACAGCTGGGAAAGAAAATACTCTAGCTTTGCCAATAAAATCGTCACTCGTTACTCATTCAACTTTTAACATTAATGACTCGAAAATTAAAAAAAAAAAGATATGACGAAAGTGCATAAAGTTTGTACCAGTTCAAAAAACAACATACCACCAAGTAATATCCTGCATGTTATTGTAACTGTCCTGCAAAACCACACTCGTGCTGGCTTGCTCAGGTCGTATATCTAAATAATAGCGATAAAGCCGTGCAATTTGCTGCAAACTAAACTCTCACGATGCGAATAGTTAACAATATGCTTACGCTCGGTCTCGGTCCGAATATTCAATCAACATACATAAAAAAACTCTAGTTAACGGGTATCACCTCTCGGATTTGCCTATCTGTTAATACTCACATAAATATATAGTAGAAGTCGGTCTTATTCTTTTGTTTTCTTCGTTCTTCTTTTTATACAAGAGGTCAAGCGGAGAAATGTTACCTTTATACAAGTGCATCCTTATCAACACGGTGCTACGCCTACGAGGTGATGCGTAACGGATGCGGTGCTGAAAATTGAAATTTGGAAGAGGGAAACATTATTAGTTCACTGTATCGAGAAAAATTTCATGTTATAAACATACAATGATGATGATGTTCTGTAAAACAAATCTAGACCAACAATTGAAATAGGCGGAACAACCAAACGTAAACAATGGCTTTAAACGCAAATTCCTCGAGAATCAAAGCACATCCAAGAAATCTAACATAATCATCTGATACAGAAAACTTCCTTTATCGAATGACATTGTTAGTTTGTGTGTCAAAACTCGAGAATTTTGTGTTTAAAGCCATTGTTTACGTTTGGTTCTTCTGCCTATTTCAATTTTTGGTCTAGATATATTAGAATCGCATACCCGTCAACTTCAAAGCCAGAAAGCTTTCCATCAGATTTTCTCTAAAACATTGTTCAACCTGATTCAAACTCAACTGAGGGGGTTAGAAGGAAATAGGTATAATCACAGACAAACAGACGTAACTCTTTATTCTGGATCATCATTCACGTATTTATCGTTTAAATTCAATATCAGCAGTTTCGCGAACCACCTGTCACAGTGCTGGCATCGGACCACTTTGACGTTTCTATACAACCATATATTCTTGCATGCAACTTTGCTTACGACTTATCAAGTATATTTTCCGCGTGAAGCTCACGAGGTGTCGCTTCTAAGGTCCTTGGCGATGTGTTCATATGATATTTATCGAAAGAGTTCGTCTGTTTGTCTGTGGTATAAGCATGATGACCAGCAAATCTCGATGGAAATTTCCGGTTTTTCCCGGAATTTTGGAAATTTTCCCGGTTGTGCGATACACATTTAAATAAAGCATAGAACTGAATGCAATTGAAGCAAATAGACAATAGGTTTAATGGGTCAGTAATAAAAAGAAATCAAAATTGATCTATGTTTTAAGTAAGTTTAACATTCGCTCTGTTATTTTTACAGGATTTCTTTGGAATGTTCTCACGAAATTCTTTTAGAATTACAGAGGTCGCTTCAGAATGAAATTTATGATCAAACTACAAGCTCGAGTTTCTCACTGGGAATCACTTGAAAATTTCTTCATAACAATCGATCAGCCATTCTCTGCAGAACACAAGCGAGAATAAGAATTTCCAACAACTAACATGACACGTGACAGTTATTCACGCAGAAAAATTGATTTTTGTTTCAGGGCAGTATTTTTTCTTTATTAAGGAGATTTTCAGCCGCAGGCTGGTTCATCACCGGTAGCCCCAGTTGAGAGTTTGGAGAACCCAGAAGGGGTTCTCCTAGAGGTTGGTGAGCTCTGTTCCCCTCCCTGAAGAGAAAGACCTCGTGGTTCCCGGTGGCCTTTCCAGGTAGCTGGTCGTTCTGCAGCTCAGCGTTTCGGCGACTTGGTATTAAAACGGTAGTGCCCCGAGTTCGACGCATGCCGATTCAGCCGGTGTTAAAGGCAGACGTCCAGCGACGATTCTGATTGCCTGGTTATACGTTGGGGCTAGTCGTGTGGTAAGAGAGTCGTTGGAAAGGCAGAACAGTTCGATCAACAATCAATACGAAACTAACGATTTTAAATTGGCTCACTACTTGACTAGCCTATTGGTCCCAAGCAAATCGATTAATATACCCCATTCTAGTCGAAATTCTAGTACTACACAATGTTTGTTTTGATTCGCTATGAAAGTTTGACAGATAAAATGAGGGGTTATTGGATTTTCCTATGTTTCGAGAGGTGAATCGATTAGCTTGGGACCGAAGAGAGTACCAGAGCTGAGCCAAAAAGTTGAGCACGTTTCTTCGGGACCTTCTGGTCTTAGAGTTGCCTTTATGGTTCGATCCCGTTTACGGTGGCTTTGGTCACTTTTAGTAGAATCTCTCTGTTACTGCTCCGGTGTGATTTGGAAAGTGTCCGGCTTTAGCCGCGTGCGGCAGTTGGCTTTGATCTCATTAAAGTGTGCGTCGAACCTCAGCTACCGGTCCAAGCGTACACCAAGAACCTGGATGGTCTTCTTGTTGGGTATTGGAATATTGTTCACAACGATGGCTGTTGGTAGCGGGCGATGACGGGAGTGGCATAGTTGGGAAACCACGCTCTTTCTGCGGATAATTCAAAGCCGATCCTACAGACCCATCTTGTGGTGGCTGATACAGCAGCTTGTAATTTCCTTCGCAAAGCCTTGAGGGTGCGTCCGATAGCCAGCAGGACGATGTCGTCTGCATATACAAATATGTATATTCCTTTTGGTAGGACCCCAAAGACTCCATTCATGGTGACCATTAAAGGGTGTGTGGTGGCGCTAATTAATCAGTCACCCTATCATCTGGCTACCCTGTGAGGGAGCTGTCAGTTGCGAACTGAATCAAAAAGTGTAAACCACGTGAAGAGGAATAAAAGTTGGATTTTATTGATTAATTCCGTCGCGTTATTACTTTCTCGTCACTTCCGTCCCACATTTGGTGACCCCGACGTGATTGAAACGGGTTCCGGTCGAAAAACGCCGCAGTTGATTCGAATATCGGGAAAATACGCATTTCTCCGCGGTACGCAAACAAGATGGCGAACCCAGCTCCAGCACAGCAGAATATCGCAGCAGTGGCGGTTAAGTTGCCAGAGTTCTGGAAGAACGATCCGCACATGTGGTTCGCGCAGGCGGAGGCCCAGTTCTGTCTGGCACAGGTGACGAGAGATGAGACAAAATGTTGGCACATCGTCGCCAAAATCGACCAGTCCGTGATATGTCACGTATCGGACTTGGTTTCCAACCCTCCGGCCGAGAATAAATATGGAGCAGTAAAAGAACGATTGATCGCCCGTTTCGCTCTTTCGCCACAGGCGCGACTCGAACAATTGCTTGGCTCCTGCGACTTGGGTGACCTTCGACCCACGCATCTACTAGCCAAGATGCAGGAGAGCTCCACGGGATTGAATGTCGACGATGCATTGATGAAGATGCTGTTCCTTCAAAGGTTGCCGCCAAGTGTCCGAGCAGTTCTGAGCATAAGTGATGGAAGTTTGCAGAAATTGGCTGAGATGGCTGACAAAATGATCGATTCATCTCCGGCCACCGCCGCAGCTGTTCATGTTCCGGCTTCATCCACTGGACAAAATGCTGATTACGCCAGTTTGAAGGAGGAAATAGAAGTTCTGACAGCTGAGATTCGACGCTTGAAAACTGAGCCAACACGAAATCGTAGCAGATCTTCATCGAAACCGAGATCCCGTGGTGACGACATTTGCTGGTACCATCGGAAGTACGGAAATCGAGCGGATCGTTGCAGAGAGCCATGCGCATTCGGCCAGCAAAAAAACTAGTCGGTTGCCCATCTGAAACGGCGCAGGTGGGTACTGGTTTCGAAAGCCGCCGACTCGTAATTTTCGACAAAACAAGTCAGCTTCGCTTCCTTATTGATACCGGCTCGGACGTGTCTATCATTCCAGCGACACGGCGCGAAAAAGCAGGAGGAACTGTTCCATTTTCCTTACATGCAGCAAATGGAACAAGGATACGTACGTATGGGAGTAAATTTATTTCTGTGGATCTTGGGCTGCGACGATGCTTCAAGTGGCGCTTTCTTGTGGCGGATGTGAGCGTCGCCATAATCGGCGCGGATTTGCTAGCACATTTTGGATTGCTGGTGAATCTGAAAAGCCGGCACTTGATTGACGAAACAACAAAACTACGAACAACTGGCTGTTTATCGGAAGTGCCTCTACATGGAATAACTGCAATAGATCTCCATCACCCGTTTCGAGACATGCTTGCGTCGTATCGAGAGATATTAGTTCCACCATCTGTTCAACAGGAAGTAAAGCACGATGTCACACATCATATTGTTACGCGCGGACCACCGGTGGCTTCGAAGCCACGTCGTATGCACCCGGAGAAACTTCAAGAAGCAAGAGACGAGTTCCAAACGATGTGCGAAATGGGCATTTGTCGGCCTTCGAGCAGTAGCTGGGCAAGCCCCCTTCACTGTGTTCCCAAGAAAAATGGTGAGTGGAGGTTCGTGGGCGACTATCGCCGCCTGAACAAAGCTACTGTCCCTGATCGGTACCCAGTACCTCACGTCCACGACCTTGTCAACAGATTCCAAGGTAAGACCATTTTCACTACATTGGATCTAGTTAGAGCGTACTACAACATTCCTGTCGAAATCGCAGACATTCCGAAAACAGCCGTCATCACGCCTTTCGGTCTGTATGAGTTTATGCGCATGCCCTTTGGCCTCTGCAATGCAAGTCAGACTTTTCAGCGCTTTATGAACAAGCTTTTCGGAGATTTGGACTTCGTGATAGTTTTTATCGACGACATCTGCATAGCGTCAGTGAACGCGGCGGAGCATATGGAACACGTCAAATTAGTCCTTGAACGTCTCAAAGCAAATGGTCTAGTGATCAATGCTGAAAAGTGCGTTTTTTCACAACCGCAAGTAGAGTTTCTTGGGTATACAATTGACAAGGATGGAATACGTCCAATTACATCTCGAGTTCGTGCTGTCCTGGAATACAAAATACCAACAATGGTGAAAGATTTGCGTCGTTTTCTGGCATTGATTAACGTCTACAAACGATTCGTACCTCACGCTGTGGAAATTCAGGAACGATTACGAAAGCTTATTCCTGACAATCGAAAAAACGATAGCAGAAAAATTTCATGGGACGAAGAAGCATCTCGTTGTTTCGAACGTTGTAAGCAGTCACTAGCTGAGGCAACATTGCTTCACTATCCTGACGCCTCAAAGCCTCTTGGACTTATGGTAGACGCGTCTAACTGCGCAGCGGGTGCCGTTTTGCAGCAATTCGATAGTGGAAGCTGGAAACCCATCGGATTCTTTTCTCAAAAATTTTCTTCGAGCCAACAGAAGTACTCAACCTTCGGAAGAGAACTTACAGCTGCAAAAGAAGCGGTGAAATACTTTCGACATCTTGTCGAAGGGCGACAATTCACAATTTTCACTGACCACTTTCCACTCACTTATGCCTTAACCACAAATCCGAGCAGTCGGCTTCCCCACGAAGAACGGTA